TTAGGGGGTGACTAGCCCAGCAAGGCCTGCAGTGGACGGGTCAGGGAACCTCCGGAGCTGGGGGCCTGCTCTGTACAAGGGGCCAGTGAGCAGGGCAGTAGCCCTTCTGTGGTGCCCAGCCCTGGCATCCGAATTCCAGGCCCCCATGTGGAGGGACTGGGGCAGGGTCGTCAGATTTCCTGCATCAGGCTTTGCCTCTATGGTGCTGCAGGCCCAGGAGAGTTCTTGGTCCCCAGGGCAGCCCCCTCCCCAAACCGGACCCACTCCCTGTCGACAAAGACTTCACCTCTAGGTCTTGTGGTCGGTGCAGGTGGGAATGTGGGCCCTGGGGCGGGGGACCTTCCCGTGTGCTTGTGTGTGCTTTAATGTGAAATCTGCCACTTTTCAAGTGACAGAAACTGCTTCTAAAACTGCCGGTCTAAGAGACACTCTGTGGCTGGCCGGGCCCGGGGCAGCTGGTGTGGACGCTCTGGGGAAGATCCGCAGAGGCGAGTCCCGAAGGCCTTTGCCGAGGGGTCGGGATGGGAAGGCCCAGGGACAGGAACACTGTTCCACAGCTGAGCTGTCCGGCCTCGTCTGGGAGCAACCGTGGGGCCGCCAGGACAGCCAGCCGGCCAACAAGAGGCCCCGCAGAGGAGAAGGCGTGTGGTTACAGAGGCAGGAGGGTTCGGGGGACAAAGGCCAGGTCAGGTGTGGGGCGGACACGGAGTCCCACCCCCACCCAGGGCAGCAGCCCTGAGAACAGACGGTGGGGGGCAGGCCACGTCCACGGCACCCTAGATGGCCCGTTGTGTGCCCAGGGTATCTTCTGTGGGGGGCAAGGGCCACAGCGGTGCCCACGATGGGGAAGGGGAGTCCCGCTGCCCGCTGCCCGCTGCCCCCGCCTCGCCATCCACCAACTCCAGGCGGTGGGACAGGGGTTCACAGTGTCAGGAACAGGACAGTGTGGAGGGAGAATTCAGGCCGACCTGATGGGGCCCCCAAGTTCCACTGCACAGCCTCTGCTCCCTTCGGGTGGCTTGAGGGGGCCACCTTCCCAGCCAGGGGAAGCCGGGCCCTGAGACGCCCCCAGGCAGGGCCGGGAGCTGCCCGAGCATATAGAGCGCCTCCTGCTCTGACTGCTGTAGCAGCTTCCTCGCCGTTCTCTCCGCCCGCTCCACGCTCCGAGCCTCACCCCGAGCGCTCTCCGCCCGCGCCTTGGCCACACTTGTCCCTCCACACTCCCCTCCCCCAAGGCCCGCCTCCAAGGCGGCAGCCCCTCCTCCTCCGCCCCCTCGGTGCGGCCTCCCCAGCACCTGCACCCCCCGGACTGCCCAACAGGCGGCGCTGCGGCTCCTCACCTGCCGTGGGCGGCCGTCAGGAGCTTCAGGCAGGTCAGGTCCCCGCTGACGGCGGCGTGGTGCAGCGGCAAGGCGCCCTCCAGCGTCTCCAGCGCGGCCGCGTGGCCCTCTCGCAGCAGCCACTCCACCAGCACCGGGTGTCCGAAGCGGGCGGCCAGGTGCAGCGGGGAGACGCCCGAGGAGTCTCGGTCCTACGGAGACACGGACGGGGCGGTGAGCGGGCGGCGGGCCCGGACCCAGCCCTGCCCGGCAGCACCAGTGTGGCCAGGGCCCGCCGCCCAGCGCCACAGCGCCCGGGACCCCGGCGGACAGCTTCCGCCCCGCCCCTCCGTCCGGCGTGCTCCATCGCGGGGCGTGCGGAGGGAGGTCTCTGGGACTGAGAGGTCGGCGGCAGGGCCAGGATCAAGTCCAGGCCTTCTGGGTCCAAGTCCCAGCTCCTGAGCATCCGAGCTCCCTCCCCTTCTCTGCTCGCAGTCAGAGCGGCTTCCGCTCGCCCAGCTGCGCCCGCGCCGGCCGGTGGCCTGCCCCGTGTCCAGGGCTGCGGCGTCTCTGGGCCTCTGCCCCACCCCCACTGAGTGCCCACCCGCCGGCCCCCGAGTCCTCTTGCCGGGGACCCTATCCACCGTGGGCCTCTGGCAGACCTGGGCGTTCTCCCAGGCACAGAGGTGGCCCCGCTCCCGCCCCCGGGGTTGTGGGAAGAGCCGCCGAGGATGAGGACGGCGGCTCAGAGGCCGTTGGGACGCTCAGGCTGTGACCACTGAGCCCTCCCCGTCCCGGACCGAGCGGGTCACGGTGATGCCCCACCCCGGCTCCGGCCTCTGGGAGGACGTCCTTACACCGTCAGAGCTGGCTCACCGACCTCCCGTGGTCCTTCACCCCCACACGGAGCACCCACCGGGCCAGCAGGAGAAGGGAGAGGTGGGCCCTGAGACTCTTCTCTTTACATCAAGGTTCTCGTCCCACTGTCCCCCACAGCTGCGCCTGTGCTGTCACCCACTGGGGCCCCCGGGCGTCCAGGCTGGTGCCCACAGCTCCCAAGCCCGAGTGCCCACCTTGCTTCTCTTCGTACGGACCCTTTTCTAGACCCTTCGGAAACAGGCCCCACGGATCAGGCCTGATAAGGGCCCCATGAGATCGCCACGGGCAAGGCCAGGCGCTCCTGGGTGGGACGTGGGGAGAAAGAACAAGGGTGGCCACCCTGTGCTGGGCGCTGGGGGACGCGAGGGGGTTTAGGAGGTGCCCACTTTGGGGGCGGAGGGATGTGGGGCAGAGACAGACGCCACTGACTGTGCCGTGGGGCCCGCGTGGGGACTCCCCGAGAGGAGCAGCCCAGGGCCTAGGTGCCCAGCGGAGGCCGAGGGCTCCGGATCCGGCTCTCGGCTCACGCCTCCCTCGATCCCCATGGACACGGGTCCCCCCCGCGGCCACCGTGCCCGCTCAGCTCACCTGCAGACCGCAGCCCCCTTCACGCACCAGCCAGCACAGCTCGGCCAGGCTGCCGGTGGCGGCGGCGTCATGCACCGGTGTGGCCCCGTTATGGGCCCGCTGGTTGCCAGGCAGCTGGGCCCGCTGCACCAGGAACTTGACGCAGGCCAGGTGGCCGGCCCGGGTAGCGTGGTGCACCAGGCCAGCCCCCAGGGCGTCGGTGATGCCCGGGCCCAGGGCGCCCGCCTCCAGCAGCCGCTCCAGGGTGGCCAGGTCCCCATCCTTGGCGGCCGCGAGCGCCCGCTGCTCCTCCATCCACCCGGCCGGCTCTCCTCGACTCGCGCACAGGCCCAGGCTTCCTGTTTCAGGCGTGGACGCAGCTCCCGGCTCCGGTTACCTGATAAGCGGCGCAGAGGGCAGATGGGAGGCGGCAGGGGGGTGGGGGGACAGGCCTTGGGGACCGGGCCTCCGCAGCCCAGCCCCAGCCCCTCCCGTGGCGCCCGGAGCTGCGGTGGGCAGAGGGCGCGGGGGAAGGGCCCACACTGGGTTTGGGTTGGGGATGGGCGCTGGCCCGGGGGGCACTGCCCTGTGCTGGCCCATGCCTCCTCCTCGCGTGGAGCGAGGCCTGGGATGGACTTCCCGCGTCGAGCAGGTGTTCACAGTGGCAGTGTCCTTTCCAGAAAGCGGTAGGCTCCCGAGTGTCCGCTTCCCCCAGGCTGGGGGCAGCCGCCCTGAGGGCTGTGCTGGGCCATGGGCCACCTGGGAGACCCTTCTCACAGGAGGGCAGACCCATCCAAGTGGAGCCCTTTCTGGGGACCTTAAGTGTTTGGGACATGTTGCCACCCACCAGGAGCTGGGGGCCTGCCTGGCCCCTGGGAAATCTGTGCTGGATCCTGGCCTCAGCTGGCCTTGGAGGCTCCGTGAACCTCTGGACAGCAGCCGCTCCCCGGGGCCGGTGACGGGCACAGGGCCCTGACCGAGAGTCTCTGGGGCTGCAGCTAACGTCTCTGGAGTGCATTTTTCAGAGCTGCCAAGCATCTTTTTCCAGACTGTTCTCTTCTGTGGGGCTGGACACCCATAGTTCTTTGCTGGGGGAATCGGGACACCACAGCCTCTGCCTGGTGGAAGCAGGATGCTGCATGTTAGGGACCTCCTTTCTAGAGCTCCCAGAGACACAGCCGCGAGCCGAGTTTCTGAAGCTAAAGTGTGATTATGCAGAGTGAGCAGTGGGTCTGACCCCACCCCACTGCCGGCGCAGACACACTGGTGCCCCCAAGAGAAGCACCCACTAGAAGAACCACAAAATGTCCGAAACAAGCATCAGAAGCTTTTATTAGTTCATATAATCTCTGACGGTTGTTTCCTCAGTGCCATCACGAAGTTCCTTGCACCTTTCAACCGCACATTAAAAGTGTTATTCAATTAAAAAAAAACACTCCTACGTAAATGTCTCCATAGACATGACATCTGATGTGAATCAGACACCATAATGCCTCTGTGAATATCAAAGAATCCTCCCGCAAATACAACTGAGATGGGAGCTGAGCAAGGGATGAACGATTTTCCGCCTTGGGAATGAGCCAGCACCACACAGGTGCTGCCGCCCGTGACTCTGACGGCTGAGCTGAAACCCTGAGCAAATGATCGAATGGAAGGGACAGGAGGGGCCTGCGGACTGGGAGACAGGGCACCCAGTGGTCGATGGCCCGAGTGACCAGCAAGTGATCAGGAGGATGGGCAGGCCCGGAAGCAGGGGGACGCCCAGCGGGGAGAGGCCTGACCGCAGGGGCCCCCACCCTCTGGAAAGGGCTTGAGAAGGGCCATGAGGGTGAGGAGGGACCGACCTCTCAGCCAACAGGTGCACAGAGGCCAGGACAGCAGCCAAAAACCAGGTCTCCTATTTCCATGAGAGCAGCTGGCAATCCATTATAAATACTAGGATTTTACCTTTCGGATAAAAATGCCACCTTCCAGGAAGGGCGTGCTTATAACAAGCTTGCCCCACTTCCCAGAGGGGAGGGTGGACGCGGCTAAAGCATTTCTAATCCAACTGGTGCCACTGGGCAGCAGTGACAGGGACGGTCCCACGAGGGCATCTCGTCCTGGGCCCCTCAGCACTGGTGGCATCTGTGGGCCCAGCAGACCCGCTCCCTCACTGACCAAGGGACGGGAGGGAGCCCCGAGCCCACATGCTCTGGGACAAGAGGAAGACTCCTTCTGGCACCGCCCTGGGCACTAGGCCTGGCCCTCCAGCCGGGCCACCGCCTGCTTCAGGTCCTGCACGACGAGGTCCACTTCGGCCCGGGTGGTGCCGCGGCCCACGCTGAGCCGGATGGCGTTCCTGGCCAGATCCAAGGGGACGCCGCAGCTCAGCAGCACCGGGGATGGCCTGTGGGGCGGGGAGACGGGCCAGCCGTCAGGACACGGGCTCTCCCGGGCTGCCGCGTGTCCTCGGCCAGCTCCCCACTGGCCACGCACACTCTTTGGCCCACCGTCGCCAAGGGCCGGCTCAAAGCCTCCCTGCCCCGGCACCGACCCCGACCCCGGGAGCACAGAGGCGGCCGTTGGCCCCTGCACCCGAGAGCCGGAGCCCAGGGTACTGTAGCAACTCCCGTCTCCAAGGAGCCAGCGGGCTCGGTTCCCGGAGGCGACGCAGAGCCACACACGAGGCAGAGGGACGGCCTCCTGCAGACCCTGGAGGCCGCGGCCCGCCCAAGTCAGTGCTCAGTTTGGTCCCGGCGCCCTGGCCTCGAACGGAGACCTGTTGCTCATCACGACCACAGCTCTGCTCTCTCCAGAGCCCAGGTGGCCGCATCCAGCTCTACTCCCGCCTGCAGGCCCCCCCACAAGAAACCGAAACCCCTTCTCTTCCTCCAGCAGGGCTGCTCCCGATGCCCAGGCCCGAGGCTCCACCCTCCCCTCCCGCTTTCGCCCGCTCCTGGCAGGGGGCGTAATCTGAACCCAAATCTGGTCACAGCTCCCGGTTTTCTCGAGGCTGAAGTGGGCGCCCGCAGCCCGGCCCTGCTGCACCAGCCCGCCCCTCCTCCCCGCTCCCTGCCTCACGTGGAGCCCCGCTGCCCGTCTCCCGGTCCAGCCCGGGGCCCCTGAAGGCTGCAGCTCCCACTCATTCCTCCCGAGGGCCTGCGCCATCTGGTCACTGTCCACGCCCCTGCTAGGCTGCAGAGCTGCCCAAACCTGGAGCCCGGATGCGCCCTGGATGCCGCGGCCAAGTACGTGGAGAGCACTCACCGGTCTCCATGGTCCGAGTGGCATGCAGCCCCCAGGCTGGCCAGCAGCGTCCTGCACTGGGCCAGCACCAAGCGGCCTAGGAGACAGAGCACAGGGCCCCTGAGGTGGAGTCCAGGCGGGGGCTGCCTCTCTTCCCTGCTGCAAGTTTGGAGGCTCCCTCCCTCGTACCACCTGATAGAATCCCAGGGCACAGGTCCCTCTGACGGCAGGTGAGAGAAACCACAGCAGGTCCCAGAGGAAGCGCTTCCTCTGTCCCTTGGCTGCAGAAAAGCAGACACTCTTCGGCCTCATAAGACTGGCCTTGAGAATGTGGTATCCATCAGCTGCCTGGCAGGACACGCAGAATCCTGACGAGCTGCCTTACCGAATAATGTGTTGTCCTGGTAATAATGTCTAACTTAACGTGTCCGTTTTCTAAAGGGAGAGACATTGGGAGCTGTCTTTGTTAAGCTAGAAGGCACTTCCCTCTTCCTTCACAGGCACAGAGATTTAAAAAAATACAATGATGGGAATTCCCTGGCGGTCCAGTGGGTACGACTCTGCCCTCTTACTGCCGAGGACCCAGGTTCGATGCCTGGCCGGGGAACTAAAAATCCCACAAGCCACGTGGCACAGCCAAAAAAACCCAAAAACATAAACAAACAAACAAAAAAACCCAACACCGATGACTGCTGATTTAATTAAAACGAACAGCCTGTCTCATTTAAATTAACACAGGTCATCACAGAATATAAAGTCTGCTCCCAGAAAAAGGGGAGAAGACACCAGAGGGAGGAACTTCCCTTCCCACAGCAGGGAGATCTGGAGAGTTAGCCATGTGCTTCCTTCCCAACGAGGAGGCACTTCAGACCCGGTGACGGCCGCCCCAGGGTTTCTTCATGGTGCAAACACGCTGCCCCGTTTCTCAGAGTGACCACGAGGCAACGACCTCTTCTTCTAAGAGGTGAAAACTGCCCTTCAGGTCGGCTCTCCCGTGCTCTCGGGGCCACCGTAACCTCCTCCCGGACAAACGAGATGCTCTACACCCAGGACTCAAGCCTCAGGGACTCCGGGCAGCCAAGTCCTACGCGTCTGGGATATGAGTCGCCCTAAGGCTAATCCTAACGCTAACCCCAAGCCTAATCCTAACCCAAACCCTAACTTTTCCAGCTGGGAGGCAGAGATCGCAGGAACTAATGAAGCCCACAGATCTGCACTTCAGCCTGACTCTGGGTCAGTTTTCACTTGGTTGCCTCTACTTTCCTGACCCTCATAAAATGTTCTGTAAAAATCGCAGACAAAGATGGACAAACTAGCCTAAAATTCAGTTCACTTTATCTCCGTCCCTCACATCTTTGGGGCGGGGCTAGGACCCTGTGAGAGCTGAGCGCCACTGTGCTGTGTCCAGAGCCTTAGCACCCAGAGCAGGTCAGCAGCTGTGCCCAGAGCCCCACCACCACGGGACAGTGCCTGGTGGGGTGACCCTGCCTTCGGCCAGTGCCCACGCCTCCCCACAGCTCAAGCTGTGCCCAGCCCAGCCCAGCCCCCAGCCAGGGAGGGCTGGGGGCAGTCGTCACCTTGCAGCTGGGGTCCCTGGATGGAGAAGTTACAGGTGTTGGGGAGTCGCTCAGTGCCTGGAAACTGGCTGTTCAGATGGATTCTCTCACCAAACTCAGCCTGGAAAATTAACAGAATATGCAGTAACATCTTCGAAGCCCCCTCCCCGCAACTGTTTGAACTTCAGACTTTCTGGAAGACGAAACCTCACTCTCGGGAATTCCCTGGCGGTCCGGTGGTTAGGGCTCTGCACTCTCACTGCTGAGGGCCTGGGTCCAATCCCTGGTTGGGGAACTAAGATCTCGGAAGCCACACGGTGTGGCAGGGGAAAAAAAACCCTCACCCTCAACACACAGAATGATCATCTTGCTGATAAGCATCTACTGATAATAGTCAGGGAGACTGACTATGGAGAGCAAAGTTAACTGGGAGAAAAAACTTCTGAATACATTTGGATCATCTTCACACAACCCTGAGGTATTCCGTCTCTGGCGTTTCTGTCGCGTGTCTGTGAGAAGGTCGCCTGGCCTGGAGCCCGCCTTGGGGGTCTCGGCCCCGCCGTCCCCAGAGCTCCGGGCCGCGGGCACTCACCGCCAGCCTCTCCTCCAGGTAGTCGCGCACAGCCCGCATGTGGGCCTCGTAGGCCTCGCACTTCTCTGTCACCAGCTCAGCCGCCTGGGGACACAGGAGGGCCCCTCAGTTACGGTGAAACGAGGGGAGCAAGGCAGCTTTCAGCAGCAGAGGCGATTCTCCCCGAAGGCAGACAGGTGACATGGCCTCAAATTGCTCATTCTCTGGAACCTGACAAACACACAGTACGCGCCGACCGTGTGACCGGGGCCGCGATAAGTGCCGAGTACCCTTCACTTGTTAACAGGAATTTACTTTTTCAGGCTTCCGGATACCCCAGGCCCTGGAGAGTCCCCGGCCGGTGACCAAAGGCAATCCCAGCCCTGAAGGCACCTCCATCCCAGGGAAGAGGCGACCACGGTAGACCGATGGGTGGGCGCCGTGGCGGGAACTCGGGGCAGCGGGGAAGGGCATTCCAGGCAAAGGCCCTGCGGGGGGAAAGGCGAGCGCTCCTGGAACAGAGTGAGCGAGGGGGACAGCGCCCCAGAGGCCCCATGACAGGGGGGATCTGAGCCGAAACACAAGGCAGATGCACGTGGATTTTGAGGAAGGGGTGAGCTGCTCTGATTTGTGTGTTAGAACTGGATGCTACGTGGAGAATGGATGAGGCGTCCACACACAAGACGGGAATGATCCGGCCTAGAGTCGGTACAAGAGGCAGGTCCTGGACCTCTCGTGGAGACTGGACAGGCCCGGCTGCTGCATCAAGTGCAGGGGACGGGACAGGGCAGATCAAGGGCACCTCCTAGATTTCTCAGCTGAGAGCCTGGGTGGCAGGAGGCACCACGGGGAGAGACGCCAACGATGCAGAAGAGAGAGCAGGACACATCGTGGGCTCAGAGGACACGCTGAGGAAGCAGGTGGGATGTGGGCCTCCCAGCAGGTCAGAACCTGCCCTGAGACGTCAAGTCCAAGACCGGAGCACAGGCTGGCATCAGAGCCACGGGACAGGGTGAGCACAGCGAGGGGGAGGGGCTGGGCCGGCACCCAGGAGGCTGACGGGTGAGGAGGGAGAGAAGGAACCTCTAGCGGGAGAAGCGGCCCCACAGCTGCAGGAGGTCACAGGGCGAAATGCGGACCTCGTCGACCAGCTTCTGGGGAGCAGAGTAGGTGTCAGGAGAAGGGCAGGGGGTGAGAGTGCATGCGGGCTGCTCCGTGGGGTGGAGGATCTGGGAAGAGGCTGGAGAGGTGAGGACCATGGGAGGCCAGTTTTAAAGGCTGGGCGAGGAACACCGCGGCGGAGGACTGTGAGGGTGCAGGGCAGGGGGCGGCCACAGTGGGGCGCCTTTCTTCAGCCGGCACACGGGGAAGGGGTGGAAGGCAGCGGAGAGACCTTGACTCGCCCCAGGGGGGGCCAGGACACACCTCCCAGGGGAGAGGGGGCGGGGCGTGTCCCGAGCCAGACCACACCAAGGAGGGCCAGGCTGAGCAAGGGGAGGGGGCGACAATGGTGTGCCACCCCCCCCCCAGTGACAGCAGGGTCAGAGGGCCCGGGCACAGGTGCAAGCCAGGAGCGAGGAAAGGGTCCCGGCTGCAGAAGGGAGCAGAGGGGCCTGCTGCTGCTGTGCCGCCATCTAATCCTCATCGGGAAGATCTTTAAGAAGCTGCCCCTCTGTCCCCATCTCGGGGGACGGGGGGTAACTGGACCCAGGGGATGAGCACACCTGTGGTCATGACGTCATTGCTTTTCATGTTAGAAGAGCCTTGAGCAAAGATACTTCCCTTTTAAATGTTAAGCGTGTGAAACCCACTCCACAGACCTTAAAAAGCACATCTCCAGGTTGATAAATACAATTCAAGGTTCCTCTTATGTTGGTCTGTTTCTTGGGATCATGAACGTGATCTCTTCTAAAGCCAGGATACCTATTAAAGCTGCTGGGAAGCTGATGTGAGATCATAGAAAATATGCGCTCTGGCCTCCGCCCTGGACCAGGCACAGAGCTCCTGAGACCCTTGGAATTTCCTAAGCATGAGGAGCAGCCTTTATTCTAATATTCTGTCATGGGCTCTGCTTCCTGCTGCCAAGCTCCTAAATCCCTTGGAACTTCCTGGGTGACAGTGTCTTTTGCCCTAATGAGGCGACCCTGGGTGGGCTCCTGGATAGGGGCTGGTCACCGAGCCCTGATGAGAAGCCTGGAATTTTTGTAGAGACGGGAGAGGGGCTGGAAATGGAGTTGATGACTGATCAAAGCCTCCATAGAAACCTCAACAGTGTGGGTTCAGAGGGCTTCCGGTTGCTGATCACAGAGGTGCCAGGAGGCTGGTGCCTGGAGAGGGCATGGAAGCCCCTTCCCACATCCCCTGCCCTACAGTTCTCTTCCTTCTGGATGTCCACCTGTATCCTTCATCATATCCTTTCATAACAAACCAGTAATCTAGTTTCTCTGAGTTCTGTGAGCTGTTCTAGCAAATACATTGAACTCAAGGAGGGGGCCATGGGAACCTCTGATTTACAGCTGGTTGGTCAGAAGTGCAGGTGACAGTTGGCATCTGAAGTTGTGGGTGCCCACAACTGAGCCCTTAGCCTGTGGGCTCTGACAGTAACTCTGGGTAGACAGTGTCAGAATTGAATTGTAGGAAACTCAGCTGGTGCCACAGAATTGCTGGGTGGGGACCCCCAACCCTGCACATCTGGTGTCAGAAGTGTGGTGAGTGTGGCAGTGGTGTGAGAGTGAGGGGGAAACACAGGAGGAAGACATCAATGGACAACGCAACGGCTTCAGCTGTCTGAGGTCACCAAGGCTTACCTTCCCAAGGCCGGCAATCATCGGGGTGTTCTCTGTCCTGTAAGAGACAAGGGATTCAATCCTATTTCCATGCAAAGCGATTAACAAACATCCCCGGAAGGAATCCTGTCTATCTGAAAGTCAGGTGTTCAAATAAAAACAGTCACACCAACATCTTTCTTAAACAAGGGCAGCTGCCAGCCCCCAAACCCTCATCATCGCCCAGGGACAGTAGACATGGCCCATTGTGGGCAATATACAGTGGGTGTCCAAGTGACAATTCTACCTGGACCCGCCTCCTACCCAGGAGAAAGCCCTCCTCCGACTGCAGGCCCCAGAGCCCCCCTCTTTGGTCCCCCTGCCAAACCAGGTGAGGGTCAGAGGAACTCACTCCCCACTCCGTTCCCTTCAGCTGACGTTTCAGCTGAAGCCTCTCAACTGTAATATGGGATGAATCTTTTGTTACTAGAGACTTGGGGCGTAGTGTGTGTGTTCAGGGGGGCTGTGCAGGAGGGGATAGGAACACCCCTGAAGACCAGTGGTTCCCATACACTGATGTAACAAACTGAAAAACTACTCTTCGGGCTTCCCTGGTGGCGCAGTGGTTGAGAATCCGCCTGCCGATGCAGGGTATGTGAGTTTGCGCCCCGGTCCGGGAGGATCCCACATGCCGCGGAGCGGCTGGGCCTGTGAGCCATGGCCGCTGAGCCTGCGCGTCCGGAGCCTGTGCTCTGCAGTGTGAGAGGCCCACATACCGCCAAAAAAAGAATGTGTATTTTGCTGTTGTTGGGTGGAGTGTTCCAAACAGGTTAATTAGATCCTGTTGGTTGATGGGTGTTATTGCGTTCTTCTATACCTTAGCCAACTTTTGTCTAGTTGTACTCTACCCATTGTTGAGGGAAGGGTGTTGAAGTCTCCATCTATAATTGTGGATTTGTCTATTTTTCCTTTCAGTTTAGTTTGTTTTTTTTTTTCCTCACATATTTTTCAGCTCTACTGTTTAGTGCATCCACATTAGGACTGCTATGTCTTCTTGGTAGACTGATTCTTTTATCATTATATAATTCCCCCTGCCTCCCCCATCCCCGGTAATTTTCTATTTTCTTTGCTCTGGGGTCTCCTTTATCTCATGTTGTATAGCCATTCCTG